GGTGTCAGTCTCTAATGTTGTCAACTATAAGCTATTAGTTGCCTGAGCTTAACAGCTTCATTTCCTTAGCCCTTTGACTGAGTACTTAACTGAGTAAGTTCTTTGCCATTGGCTGTGTAGGAAAACAATATGCCTAAACAAAATGGTTTATAATCCACTCCACAAACACTATGAAGCTTATAAGGCTGATTTAGATGGTAGTGACTTTGATTTTACTTCCATAGATTCCATGTCAAAATGTACTTTCCATGGTTCCCAAAAGGGTCATGGTTGTAGTCCTGGGGTCTTGTAGGTCCATACATCGAAGGTGTGGCTGGCTTCTGTGGCTAGTATCAAGATAAACTCTAATGACCCCATGATTTTCTAAATAAAGAAGGTATCAAGTGCTTCCTGAGTAGTTTCCAAGAGAGCCTTGGGAAGCATTCAGCTGATCTTGAATTAGAGAACTGATTGTCAGTAGTAAGCCAAAATTAGATAAGCAGGTTTTTTGGTGGGTAGTGAAGGGAGAGGAGGGCATAGAAAGCTAATGGCAGCTTAGCAACCAGTTCTTAATATATGGGTTTTAGAATGTTGGTGGCCTTATTGCTGTCAGCTTTCCAAATTAAGAGATTCTTTGTCTAGGCCAAACCTTGGTCTATAGGATATAATGTATCTGCCCAGTAGGGACTGTAGGCAGAGTGCTAAGGACTAAGAAGTATGGAGAGTTTATGGTAAGGTTGGGACTTCCCCTAGCTTTGCATGAGATTCTTTTCTGGCTGATCTAACTACCCTGTGGCACGACTATATCTGAAATTAGCCAAGAGATGCCAGGTCTTATTCAACCTTTAATGGATTAAGCAAGAAAACTTCCTTTATTACTTTTGCAAAGAGCAAGGTGACAAAAGTCATTCGATTATTAACTGTAAAAGCTCTCCTCCTTGGAGTAATAATGGAACTGATTAAAGAAAAGTTTTTAATATGGTATGAATTTATATCTAGGATGTTCTAAAGTGTGAAGGTTTTCAGATGGGAGAAGAAAAAGGCAAAATTTATATCTAGGCATAATTAGAGTAATATTTTTATGGATTTGTTCAACCCAAACTTCACAAGTTTCTCCCAAGTAGAGAAACAGGGATTCAAGCTCAAAAGCAAAGTAGCCTTCTGATCAACTGGGGTTAAATCTAGCGTGAGAAAAGTCCCTTGATTTCTTTTTTCCTTGTAGGGATTTAGTGACACTGAATTTAGGGGGAGAGGAGGAGCCAGATTTTTTTTTTTTTTAAAGATTTTATTTATGACAGAGAGAGAGAGAGAGAGATCACAAGTAGGCAGAGCAGCAGGCAGAGAGAGACGGGGAAACAGGCTCCCTGAGGAGCAGAGAGCCCGATGTGGGGCTCGATCCCAGGACCCTGAGATCATGACCTGAGCTGAAGGCAGAGGCTTAACCCAATTTTCATATGATCTCCCTGATATGAGGAAGTTGAGAGGCAATGTGGGGGGTTTGGGGGGTAGAGAAGGAAAAAATGAAGATAGGATTGGGAGGGAGACAAACCATAAGAGATTCTTAATCTTGCAGAAAAAACTGAGGGTTGCTGGGGGGAGGGGCAGATAGGGAGAGGGTGGTGGGGTTATGGACATTGGGGAAGGTATGTGCTATGGTGAGTGCTGTGAAGTGTGTAAACCTGGCGATTCACAGACTTGTACCCCTGGGGATAATAATACATTATATGTTAATTAAAAAAATTTAATAAATAAAAAGATTCATATTTGGAGTAGGTACTTGTGTGACTTCATTCACTATCATTTATTAAAGTAGTTTCATCAGATTGACTTATTTGAGGCTGGGTAGCTATGGGCATGTGTCATCCAAAATCCCTCAGAGTAAATCTTCTGAGAAAAGTGTAGTTGGATGACAGCCTTCAGCCACCACGCTTCCAGATTCCGCTGTAGCATTCATCCAAAGGCCATACTCATCAAGCTAATTCAAACCAATGACTGAACATGATGGATGGAGGTCATAGAGCTGGCCACATATGCACAATGTGGGACTCTCAACCATATACTTATCTAGGACTCCTCATTGGTCTGACACTTTTCTCTAGCCTCACTAGTCAAGTTTTTCTCCTTCCTTTCCCCTCTCCTCTCATAGATGTCAGACCCATATTATGGTCCAAAGGTTTCTCTCATCTATTCCAGCTGCCTCTCTACTTATCTCAGATGTTTCCCTCCCCAAAAGCTCTTGTACTTCCAATATCTTGCTGTGTGCTTCTGGTAGGACTCTTAGCTTATGAATATGAGAAAAGTTACCAAATTCCTATAAAACAACTGGGAGAAGTACGATGTTAAATACTAATGTTATCACTAAAACATGTATTTTTCCAGCTTTTTCTTTTCCTATCTTTTGATTTTTCTTTCTCCTGATTCCTCTTCCAGAGCCTACCTGATTTTTTTCTTTTTTCACAAATGGGAAAAAGAAAAGTTTGCTACGTCTTTTCTAGCAACACTTATAAGAGATGTACAGAGAGATGAGCAGAAATCAGAGCAGCACTATTAACTCTATTATCTGGTTCCAGCGTCTATAGATTATTCCTTCATTGATGCTTGAGAAGGGGGAGGGAAGGATCAATGTGGTCTGGTTCTAAATTGGTTAAGAATGTTGAAGGTAGAGGAGCGAGGGACAGAGAATTGTCATGAAGAAGTGGTGACTCCATTCTGAAAGTCGGCTACAGGTTCTTTTCCAGGACAACAGAAGTTATAATATTTGGAAGATGTATAGTAAATCTTCTCAATAGTGATTCATTCTACAAAAAATATATTTTAAAGTATTTATAGAAAAAGCAAAACAATTAAATCTTGCTGAAAGAAGTTGTGATCGAAGGTTATAGTTAAAGGAACTCTTCAGGTTCTTCAACAAGTAATAAGCATTCAGATAAGGGCAAACTCTCTTGATGACTGAAAATTATCACCCCTTTCCAATACCATCACAACACTAAAATCTCTTGGCACGTCTTTGAAAAGAAGTTTCTGGAAAAGTGGAAGGGATCTGTTCAATATGCAAAGATAATCATTTTAGCTAACCCCTTACACATCTTGCACTTAAAACATGGGTGTAGATTAACTCTGTTGCTTTAACACTGATAAACTTCATATTCAGACAACAGTTAGGAAAGCAAGATGTTATGAAGTACTGGATGCCAAAGGGAGGCGTTGCAGGAAACCTGAGGCCATAGACTCAGGTAAGTCTCCAAGATCAGGACAAACATGTTTTCATAATCAAATTGGAATTCAACCTAATTATTTTCTAAGAAACTTTCATTTTGTCAAGTTATCATTTTCTAGTAAACTTAAAGACACAGTCTGTAGGAGGTAGGAGAGTGAGTAATCTGCTGATTAAATTTTCTATGAATTACATAATGCTCTTTTATCACAGCTAGTTTCCTAATACATTTAAAGCACTGTAACTTTGTAATGGGAATGTGAGTAGTTCTTTACATATTTAAAAACATCGAAGAGTTTATAGATATAAAAGTAATGAAGATAATGACTTGTTATTTGACAAAAATCAAACTTCTATTTGATGTATATCAAGCTAACAATGGTCTATGTTATTTTCCAGGAGCTCCATATTTAAAATTTGAAATTCTACGTATTTCACTTAAAGCAAAGTAACATGTGGATGTATCTAACAGAAGATTTTCAAAGGGTGAGAGTATTATAAGCATAAATGTAAAACTAGGTCTTTGCCTAAAAAACATAATACACAAAATTAAGTGTTGCTTCTCTCTATATTAGACACACATGTATTCAAATGTCAACATGTATAAAACTAATCTTTCTATATGTCTATACTGTACATAAGGTTTGGTTGATAATTTCACTTTAAAAATTTATTACATTTTGCTATAGTATCATTTGCAATACTGGCACCTAGAAATATTCTTGAAAATCCATTGAGAAGAAATAAATGTCTTGAAATATTTGCATCACTTTGAAATAATGAAGTAGAAAGTTTTCCAAGGCATGTTGTTAAATGACAGAGAGAGGAAAAAACCCAAAGCTGGAGACGCAGGATAGCCTACCGAATAAGGTCACAGACCCTAGAATCAGACTAGATGGGTTTGAATACTGATTTGGCCACTTATTAGCTATATGGAGGAAAAAGTTTTTTTGTTTGTTTGTTTTGTTTTTTGTTTTGTTTTTAAACTGTTTCATACAAGAGTTCCCTAATTTGTAAAATGCAGGTCAAATGAATACTTACCTCACAGGGCCATTTTAAGGATCAGATCAGACATTATGTAAGAAACAAAACAGTACTTGCTACAGTGTCATTACTAAATCAGTGCTTATTTGTTTCTAGAATGGCCTAGTTTATGGCAGAACTACTTATCCTACAGGAACATAAACATGTAGTCAAGCGACAGAAAAAAGGCTACAAATTGATACCAATATGTAACTGTGGGCATTAAATGAGATTCTTTGCTTTTTGAGTATTATACATGCAAAATATACTTCATATGTCACTTTGTGATTAAATTTTAAACACTTTCATTCAACCATTAAATAACAGTGAAGTTTACATTTACTGACTTATTGACATAGAAAGACATTCTTGCACATTTCATTAATTGCTAATAAGCAGATCAAACGATAATATTAATTGTATCAATATGAACTCATTTACGTAAAATTATATGTATTTGTGTATACAATGATAACCTTAACAACTAATCCATTTAGGTGATTTTGACTTTCTTCTTTGTACTTTGTATAAGACACATGTAAGCGTAATTTTATACACACACACACACACACACACACACACACACATATACACACACACAAACTGTACATTATTTAAAAAAAAAACAAAACTCTAAAAGCCACTTTGTGAAAAAAGAAAGCAACCGTAAGTCTAGTTAGTTATACCATCATGCAGTATCCTGCATTCAAAATGCATATGGTGAGAGCACAGCCAGTTACCACTGTTGAACGCAATGAATTAAAAAGATTATGAATGTACTCACCCACCAATCACCTGGAGTCCAGAGAATTTGCAAGCATCCAAATCACTGCCACTTACTATTCGAGCCTTAAATCAAAAACAAGAAAAAAAAAAAAAAAACAAAAGAAAAACAAACAGGCTTTTAGCATACCAGAGCTGCAAATTCATGAATTTGGGACACGAGTCAACTGCACTAGACATGTAACACCTAGTATGACAGATGCTAAGCAGGGTCAGCTCCAAGTCAAAGCTACCATGTTTTTGTGAGTGGAGGTTTCACAATTAGCTGTCAGCATTTAAACAAAAGCACTGGCACAGTCCAGGAAAATATATCATGTTCCCAATAACACTTGCCCTTAAAACTTGCTAGGTGCAGTGAACATCATGAATCAGTCAAGGAGATCATGATAAGCCAGACTTAAGAACAGATGTTGAGTTTGACCGTAGCAGACCCCGAGGCTGGCAAGTTTAGTAAGCTAAAGTAAGCGCAGCTGGCGAGGTGTAACCTCTTCATAAATGCAACATATCGGGGGCACACTTAAAGGACAACCAAAGAATGGAAAGCTGGGATATCATGCACATCTCACAACTAAAACAGAGGAACCAAAACAGGTCTAATATGTCACAAACAAACATGTACAATAGACAAGGTCCCTCAGGAGAGAAGAAAAAGTATGATTTAAAACCTTTTCATCCACAGAACTGCTATCTGAAAGAGAATCAGGAAAAGAAGGAATAAATGTTAGATGGAGTATTTTAGAAGTCATTTAAACATATACATGAATAAAATGTTACTAGTTTACATTGCTTAAAATCATAAATAGAATTTCAAGGCTGAACCCTCAAGGGGAGAAAGATATTTGGTCTTCATCATTTAAAGAGCTGGAAAATGTGCCCAAATGCTTGTAAAATATCAAAAGGTGATTAAAGGGTTTAATGGAAGACAATGCGTCATGTAAAGGAAAAGAACACAGTTGAAGAATCAGAAGTCCTAAGCCCCATCTGGGGTTCTGCTACTTACTAAGCACATGGGGCAAACTACCAAATTCTCTGGAGTCTGGAATCTAGACCCAACTCTGCAAAAAGATCATGGATATTGTGCTTATTGGCGTCCAAACATTGTTCAGAGAATCAACAGAGATGAATATATGTCAAAGTAAACCCCAGGTGACTACATAAATCAAGCACGTTTTATTAAGGGATTATTTATTTATGGCTTGTCATAGAGACTCAAGCGCTAAAAAATTAATCCAATATATTCCACTCTGCAAAACAAACAAACAAACAAACAAGAAACAACTGATACCTGAAAGCACTTCAGTGACTTAAGATCACAAAGCTAGTGAATGGCAGAAATGGGACACAAACCCAGGGCTTCTGATGCCCTAGCTGCTGCCCTATAGATCCCATTTTTCAGGTAAGTTGAACAAAGCAGAGAGGGAGGGGTGCTGGTGCACAGTTTTCTAGCCCAGTTTAAGATCCATCACAGGGTAAACATTTCTCAGTTGCAACTTCTCTTGGGCCCAATGAACAATGGTAAATGATGGATTTTTTTTTTTTTTTTTTTTTTTTTTGTGGGCAGCGAAGCAAGGTTTATTGAGCAAGAACAAAGTGATAGTACGAAGCTCCCAAAGAGGGAGTAGAACCAAAGGAGTTGCCTGAAATAATTTTTTTTTTTAACTCAAATCTGAATCTACCAAGGTCCTCCTAGCATGGTCCATTTTTACTTTACATAGTAGCATTGCTCTTAAATTTATTAATCCAGTTTTGCTTATTAGTATAAAGCTGGAGGAATGTCTCTATGAATACAAGTTGGCAGAAAGCTAGAGCTGAAATGACCTTGGAGTTCATGGAGTCAAAACCTTTCATTTTTATGGATGAGCCCCAGCAATATAAAGATTTATCTAGGTCATGTAGCTCTCTGACAACTTTTATTGATAAAAAAAAAGTGAGATGTATTTGTTTTCTTGACTCATTAAGTATGGCTTCATTAATTACTTGGCAATATTTTTGGCTGTAGTTTAGATATTTCACAGTATCTCAGAATTACGTCTTTGAATATAAAATAGGATAAAAGCACAAGTAATAAAAACAGATCTTATTTCTGGCCATAAAAAAATTAAGATACTGCATTCAATATAGAAAGTTAAGCTTTAAATAACAATACCTCCATGAAAACTATCACAAACATAATATAAAATCATAAAATAATTTAATATGAGGTAACTGGTCAGGAAACATGCACCTACTTTTCAACAAGCACCAAAAAGCTATTTGATAAAATTTCAAAACAAAACCCTCTAAATAATTTTTAAACATTGAAAGTTGATTTGAATGAACCTTGAGCTTAATATGTTAAAAAAAAAAAAAAAGTTACTCCAGAGACATAAATCTAAGTGTAAAGTATTAGGGCATTCCCATAATTCCAAGCAAAACGAAAATGTCCACAACCATCATTTTAATGTATTTCTTGAAATTCTGATAATATATTAAAAGCAGACCAATTAAAGCAAAAACAAAACAATATAGATGTTAGAAGGCAGAACAAACACAAAATTGTTATTTTCATTTTAAACCCAGAAGACAAGTCACCTGGAAAACTGTTAGGGTTAATAAAATAGGTAGCAACGTGAACATAAATAAGAACAGTTATTTCCCACAAACCCACAATAACTAGCTTGAAAAACAATGACATGAGATCTGATTTCAAATATCCATTACTTTGACATGGTCTCCTATTAATAACTGGATTCTATATCAACCATTCCAATGAGTAAAGGTAATCCTAAAGTCAATTATCTTTCAACTGCTCCATCTAAAACATTAACTTTTTCATTCATTATTCATGTTTCCCTCATTCCTTCACTGAATACGTATTTTTATTAATTGCCAACAAATATATTTTGTTCGCTCCTACTCCTTTCTCATCTACCTGCTATCCTGTCTTCCTTGAAAGCTTTCTAAACACAGTTAAAATGACACCACTTCCCTTCCTGTTTAAAATCCACCAAGGCCACCCAGTACCTACAGTAGACAGAACAGATGTGTATCTATGGCAGGCTCACGAGCCCTCATTCACATCCCAAACTTTGGCCGCAATTAAGTTCTTGACATTTCATCTTCATGCCATGCTCTTTGAAATCTGCATGACTTTGCATTTCCAGTTTCCTTCTTTTGAAACAAGCACTCCCCTTCCTCATCTAGTTGTCAGCCTCCAAAACGCAATTAAAGCATAACCTTCTGTCCTGGAAACTAGTAACATATCAGGGATTCATACATAGCTTTTGTGCAGGAGCACTGCACATTGCCTTCCTTCTGGCTAAACCTCATCTTTTGTCAGTTTCTCCACCTGCAGTTCTCCTAGATAAAAGTGCCTTTTGCCTCCTCCTCCTAATTTCTAGTACATTTCTGAACTAGAATAGATGACCAACAAATGTTTACTGAACATTGAGTGAACAACCTTAAATAAGCTACCACACTTTATGGAAGTATCTAAAAAATCGAAATAAAACTTATTTCATCTTCCCGTGTAGGAAGATAAATTGTTTTATAACACATTTATAGATTTAGTCATTAAAATCATAATGGCAAGTTGTTGTAGGGTTAAGAATAGTTCAAGTGTAACTGGATTAGTAAGTCAAAAACATCGATGACCTTTTGAAAGGAGAATTATGAGGAAAGTCTGTAAGGGTTTTATCTGTAAGGATTTTAAAAATCTGTACTAACCAAATATTACTGTCCCGGCAAAACAGATTGAAAGATAAATTCAACAAAATTAGTCAAGTAACAAACCCTTGTACTTAAAAATTTGACAAATAAGGATGGGTGGATTGTTATCGAAGACAAATAACTGGCCAAAAAAGGCTGCTTGGGGCGCCTGGGTGGCTCAGTGGGTTAAGCTTCTGACTTCGGCTCAGGTCATGATCTCAGGGTCCTGGGATCGAGCCCCGCATCAGGCTCTCTGCTCAGCGGGGAGCCTGCTTCCCCTCTCTCTCTGCCTACCTCTCTACTTGTGATCTCTGTCAAATAAATAAATAAAATCTTTAAAGAAAAAAAAAAAAGGCTGCCTAACACATAGGTCAAGTATCTGTAATGTTATTTATATCGTCTTACACAGTGTCCATGAAGTTACGGATGCATTAATTAAATATCAAGTGAGAGAAAATCAGTAAAAATAGAAAGGAATACTTATTAACTCTTTGGAATAAGAAGATACATTTACAGTTAGAGGTAAAATTCATTAAGTCTGTTATGCCCATTTAGAACTTTTGCATATAAAAAAGAAAATGAAATACACTTGCTAAAAACACAAGTGTTTTTGGTATGCTTAGTATATAAAGAACTCTTACAGGTCTCTGAAAAAAAAAATGACACTACCCTCCAAAATTGGTCAAGAATGTGACCAGATAATTCACAAATTAGAATACAATGGTAAATAAGCATGAAAAATGATATAATTAAAAGTATGCCTCATCAGATTATAAAATCAGTAAAAATCAGAGTAATGATATGTTAATTGTATTAAAAGTAATATTTAAGGCTGTTAAAGATGCGATTAATCTGACACTCTGATGCATCGTTAATGACAGTGAAAACAGTAATAAAATTCTTAGAAAATTTTCAGTGTTGTCTAATAGACTGTTCAAATGAGAAAAATTTTTTGAAGTTGATGCTAAGGAAATTATTTTTGTTACAGACTGAATTATGTCCCCCAAAATTCACATGTTGAGGTCCTAACCCACAGCACCTCAGACTGTAGGCTTCTTTGGAAATAGAGCTGTTGCAGGTACAGTTAGTTAAGATAAGGTCATACCTGCATATGGTGGTTCCTGATCCAATATGACTGGTGTCTTTGGGGAGACAAGAAAAACACCATCTGAAGATTGCAGCTCTGCACCACAGGCCAAAGATATCTACCAGATAGTAGAAGAGAGGCCTGGACAGATCCTTCCCTAACATTTTCGGAGGGAGCACTACCCTTTCAGCATACCTTCATCTCAGACACCTGGCTTCCAGAACTGTGAGACAAGAAATTTCTGTTATCCTAAGTCACTCAGTTTATGGTACTTTGTTTTATCATCCATGGCAAACTAACATAATTTAAAGTCATGAGAAAAAAATTAATGTGTAAATATTTGCACTTTCATTATTTACAAAAAGAACCTGGAGAAGGATGCATAATCAACTATAGAAATATGGGTTGAAAGTTATGTTCTAAGGATGTCTGGGTGGCTCAGCTGGTTAAGTTCCTGCCTTCAGCTCAGGTCATAACCCCAGGGTCCTGGGATTGAGTCCCAAATCATGCTCCCTGTTGGAGCTGGTTTCTCCCTCTGCCTGCTGCTCCCCCAGCTCATGTTCTTTCTCTCTCTAACAGATAAATAAAATCTTAAAAAAAAAAAAGACAAGAAAATTATGTTCTATGATCTTGATTCAACAATTTGTGACCATTAACACTTTTTTTTTTTTAAAGATTTTATTTATTTACTTGACAGAGATCTCAAGTAGGCGGAGAGGCAGGCAGAGAGAGAGAGAGGAGGAAGCAGGCTGAGCAAAGAGCCCGATACGGGGCTCGATCCCAGGACCAGAGGACCATGACCTGAGCTGAAGGCAGAGGCATTAACCCATTGAGCCACCCAGGCACCCTATCTGTGACCATTAAAATAAACATTTAAAATACTATCTAAAAATGTAAAAAATGTTTATGTATAT